GGTTTGGGGTTGAGGAAGAAGACATTGGTTTATATTTTTTTCTTTAATTTAAAAAGGAAATAGTTAAAAAACAGAAAAAACAAAATAAAAAAATTTAATTTCAGATGATTTTTTTAGTTTTCACGTGCTTCTTTTATGTGTATGACACATGACAAAAGAGATGTGTAATTGATATACTTTTAAAAGTTTTAGTATATAATACTATTTCTGTATTTAACAATTGTATAAGAGGAATTTGAGTGCAGGGTAAAGTATGTATTTTGCCTCAAAATAATTAGTTGCAACTCTGTCTCAAAATACATCACCGAATTGTGTTCATCCCCAAATTTAAGAGCATCTGACAGTACCAATGAGTATAAACTAAAAATATTACTCCCTCCGTTTTAATTTATGTAAACTTATTTGATTGAGCACGAAGTTTAAGAAAAGATAGAATACTTTTGAACTTGTGGGTAAAATAAGGCACATATATTTTATGTGACTATAAATCATTACATAAAGCTAAATTGTTTCCAAATAAAAAAAATAATCATTCTTTCTGTCACAAACCAAAAAGAAAATAAGTTCAAAAATAGAGGAAGTACTAACATAATTATAGTCCAGCCGCCGTAAAACTAAAGTGATTGACTCAAAGCTGAAGCAAATCAGCGAAGGTGGAGTACGACCCGAGGGTAGTGGTAACGCCTGCAAACGAAGAGAGCTTGCCCCGATGTTTGGAATCAGTAGCTATTGCGCAAAGGAGCGTCTCTTTTCCATCAGATTTCAGCTCTTTTACTCCACAGCTGCAGCAACTACATTGGTGGACTTTCTGGTAAATTCACTTGGCTTCTCCAACAAAGAAGCCATTTCTACAAGCTCCAAGGTAACTCGTTCGACACTCCGAAATTATGAGCCACAATTGTTACTTGATCTCTTTCACAAAGTGGGTATGAATAAAACCCAGATCAAAACCCTCGTTTCTTCTTCCCCTGAATTGTTGTTTTCTCATATTGATAAAAACCTTAAACCCAAAATTATGGTTTTACAAGAAATTGGCTTATCTGGGTCTGACCTTGTTACATTTATCAATAAAAGCGATTTCTTGATGAGAGGTTTACATACTACTATTAAACCAAGTCTTGATTATCTTCGGGAGTATTTGGGCAGTTATGATGCTGTAGCTAGGGTTATTAAGAAAGAGCCTAGGCTGCTTTCCAGTAATCTCCCTAAAGTAATACCACCCAATATACTATTGTTGCAAAATCTTGGGTTTTCGCTAGGGGATATTGAGACGGTTTTTCATCGGCGTCCTAGGTATCTGCTTAATAACCCTGAGTGGCTTGAGAGAGTAGTAAATCAAGCAGAAAAGAGTTTTAACGTACCTCGGGAGTCACGGATGTTTCTTCATGCCATTGAAGCACTTGTGTCGCTTGATGAATCAAAATTAGAAAGGAAATTAGATATTTTCCGGAGTTTTGGATGGTCTGATTCTGATATCTGTGCAATGGTGCGAAAACTTCCTTACTGTTTGACTTCATCAGAGGCTAAGATAAGAAGTACATTGAAATTTTTCATGACCGAACTTGGGTATGAACCTAGTTATCTGGCTTCTCATGCACCACTTTTAAAGTACAGTATGGAGAAGAGGGTCAAGCCAAGGAATGAAATCTTGAAGTTTCTTAAAGAAAACCAGCTGATAAAAGGGAAACTAAGTCTTTACACTGCCGTGTCATCTCCTGAATCACGATTTCGTAAGAAATATGTTCTTCCTTTCAAGGAGAAGATGCCTGAGTTGTATGATTTATACATCAAAAATACAAGCTAAAGAGAGGTCTTCACAGTGTGACAGTGGCTGCAGAGCAGTGCTTGTTTAAGAGGTTTATTCACTTCTTGATAATTTTGTACTTTCATTTTGGTGCTCTTTTCAAGCATGTTGCTAGTTTACCTTTCATTGTTGATTATACATTTATCAAAAAATTACTGAGCTATGAAAACTAGAAATTGAGGCTAGTCTCATTTTCAAATCAACTGATGTTTCTTGTTTAATGGGAAGGAAAGAAGTGTAGAAACCAGACTTGATGTATATGACATTGATTATTTGAAGGCTTATCTCAATGAAGACCGTGTTTGTTGTCGTTGTAACTGTAGTTTCTTAATCCAATATCTCTTTGTGATAGGACAATATTGCTCCTCAACCTAATTTTGACCTAAGGGCTATCCGTTGTTGCCTTGTCTAGGTTAATGGGTCTAAAAATTTTCATTATATTCTGAAAAGCACCTTCTTTCAAGCTTGTTCAACAGTAGGCATGATGCTCTACATGTGGCATGTACCTATTGTTGACAATTTTGAAAGGAGTTGTAGGCCATTGCCTGTTGTCAAGAAGAAATGGAATTCTATCTAAGAATCAGATACAAGTTAATTTAGGATTAATTCTGTGAAAGTTGCTTCAGAAAACCAATTTTAGGTAAGCTTTATTTCATCTGTTTTTGCCATGTTCGTGTCTCATATATATGGAATTTGGCNTGTACAAGTAAAAGAGAACCTAAAGTATCCTCTCAAGTACTTCATGGAATCAGCATATATGTTTTAAGTGTTCTAGCTTAGCTGACACATCATATATATGATATCCACTTTTTCCTAATTGGAGATTACTTGAGTGATCTTTGTACTCTCAACTCAGTCATGGCTCTGTAGCGCTCTAGGCCCACAGTGTCACAAGCCATGCGCAGTGTCTCTAATTTTTTTTATTTGTTGAAAAGATAACAAAGGTTATGTAATATGTACTGCTATTACAATAACAACAACAACATACCTACTGTGATCCCACAAGTGGGGTCTGGGAGGTACGCAGATCTTGCCCCTACATTGTGTGAGGTAGAGAGTTTGTTTCCGATAGACCCTCGCTATGTAATATGGACAGATATTACATAGCAAAAAAGATTAGTCCCATTCTTTTCTTGAGGGACTCTATGAGATTCTATCAATGATTCAGTTTCAGCTTCATTTACAATTTCATTTTTACATAAAAATTATTACATTCCTCTATCTCCAAACAGTCCACTATATACTTGCAAGAATGGTATTCCACCATTTCTGGACTAATACAACTTTGGCACCCAAGGGTGTGGCCTAGTGGTCAATGAAGTAGGTTAAAAACCATGTGGTCTCAGGTTCAAATTCTAGCGGAGGAAAAAATACTAGGTGATTTCTTCCCAGTTGTCTAAGCCATGTGGATAGAGTTACTTAGTACCTGTGCTGGTAGGAGGTAGCAGGTACCTCTGGAATTAGTCGAGGTGCTCGCAAGTTGGCCCTGACACCATGGTTGTAAAAAAAATGATATTCCACCATTTCTTTTATCTCCTTTGCTTTATTTTTTCCCCCAGCATTTGAGTAGTTCATTGGTGCTCCTAGGCATCACCCCTTTAATGCTTACCATATTCATAAACAACTGTTACCAATTATCCATAATAGGCAATGGAGGAAGAGATGATTTAGTGTCTCTGGTTTTCCTCCAGATAAGTTACATCTGGGACAAAACTGGAAGCTTCTTTTCTACAATTCTCATGTGTTGAGCGTGATTCTTTGGCTAATAGTCTGGAGAAACATGCAATGTTCTTCGTTATCTCCACCTTTCATCTCTGTTTTCAGGTCAAGAGACTGCTTGTTGATCATCTGAGGTAGAGAGGCAAAGGATAGCAGGACGTCACTGTAAAGTGTCCTTTACAGTGAGCTTTACTTTATCTTCGTCCTTGTTAAAACCTTAAAAATGCTCTAGTGCTTTCAAAATTTTGCACCCGTGCCTATTTCCTAGTCATTCAACCATCTTCAAAAGTTGAAGTTCCAGCCATGTTCTTTGTAGGAGCTCAAAGTAGTTTATGGTTGTCGTATATAAGCTTGAATATGTCAGCGAACTGTTCTTTCAAGGGACCCATGCCTTATCAATTGTTATTCCAAAAGGAAACCCTCCTATCATTACCCATTCGGTATCAATATTTGATCTAAAAGAGGGCCATATATTTTCGATATTCCTCCATACTCCCACTCTATTGGAGAAGATGACTGTTTCGAACACCGGGGGCTTTCTTGGCCATATTTCATAGTGATAACTTCTCTTAATAGTTCTTGTTCTTCTGAATTGTATCTCCGTAGCCTTTTCATCAGAAGGTTACTATTATGCTGCCTCAGATTCCTGATCGCCAATCCTCCTCCTCGGCCAATAGATGTAGAGCTCCATTTGACGGAGTGAAAAGATCTATCCTTGTTGCTTTGCCAGAGAAAGTTTCTCCATAGGGCATCTAACCTTTTCTTCGCTTTAGCTGTTAACTGGAATAGTTATCATATAAGTTGGCATTAAGTCAGGTACAGTATTAATCAGGACCAACCTTACACCTCTTTTGCAACCAGTGAGAGGTATTGACTGTTATATTTTGCAAATCTTTTTTCGCCTCTTTCTATCCCCTCTTGCCAAGTTTTTTATGACATGTTCTTTTCACCTAAAGGGAGCCTCATCTAGTTGGTAAGCTACCGACTTGACATTCCAGTATGCTAGCATGTATTCAAACATTGTGCACTTGATTCATAGAGAACATAATACTCTTCCTCTAGTCTACTTTTAGGCCAGACAATTCTTCAAATAAAGTTAATATCAACCTTAAATGCCTTATTTGCTCCACACTAGCATAAAAAAACAAGTGTATCATCAACATATAAAAAGCATGGAATTTCCTTAATATTGAAACCAATGCTAGCCTCTTTAAAGCCCCTTATCCATCCACTATGATTGGCTATCCTTAGCATTCTGTTAAATCCTTCCATAACCAATACTAACAGAAAAGGAGATAGATGGTCATCTAGCCTAAGACCCATTTGTGAAGGAAAGAAGCCCACAGGAGAACCATTAATCAAAACTGAAAATCTGACCGTGCTGATAAAGAAGAATGCCGATTTAAGCCATTTCCTACTGAATCCCATATCTTTTAAAATATTGATTAGGAAATCCCAATTCACATGATCATGTCTTTACTAGATCGAACTTGCAAAATTATTTTAGGGATCTTGCCTTTTGTTCTGGTATCCATGGACTAGTTATCTAGTAAGGCAGCGTTCATGATCTGCCTCCTGTTGATGAATGCCATCTGGTCTTTGTCAATTAACTTGTGCATCCACCCTCTTAAATCTTCCGGTCAAGAGCTTAGAGATGATTTTGTATGCTCCTCTACAAAACTGATAGGCACAGAACCCTTCATTGCCAAGGCTCCATTCTTTTTTGAGATAAGAGCAATGTGTCATTTATTCTCTTTTCAAAATTACCTTGTCCGTAAGAGTACTCCACTGCTTTCATAATGTCTCCCTTGATGATTGGCCAGCATGTTTGATAGAAACTCAATAGTGTAACTGTCAGAGCCCGGGCTTTGTCACTTGCGCTGATTTGGATGGTCTCTGGTACTTCCACTCCTCCAAAAGGACCTTGTAACCATGTTGTCTTCCTCTTCACTGATTCTTGGACATTCATTTATGTTGAACCTTGCTCCATCAAGTTCTAATTGAACTCTAAGATCTCTCTTCTGATGGCCTTTGGATCTTCCTCTATTTCTCCGTTAATATCCAACTTGCCAATGGTATTTTATCTCTGCGAACAGTAGTCATTACTGGGACAAACTTAGTGTTCTTGTCACCTTATATCACCCGAAGAACCTTAGAAATATCTGCTGATATTTTGTAACATGTTCAACTCCCAAATACACTAGCTTTTAGGATCAATTCCTCCTTAGTATGTAGCCTTTGTTCATGTATTTTATCCAACACAGACTTTTACTTCATAAGTCTGATTTTCTCTCTAGACTGCCAATGTTGTTGGTATTCTCACTCGACCAATTTTGCTTTCAAAAATTTCAGTTTCTAATCAGGCTTACGTGCTACCATAAAGGAGTTCCACGAATCTTTTATCTTCTCTTTAAGACCTTCAACCTCTATAAATACCTCTTTTCCCCACATTGGAGTAGTTTAGGATTATAACTGGAGGCAATTCTTGGAAGTGCAGACAACTTGATGTACCTAAACTCTTCGTCCTATTTTGTTGTGGAAAGGAATCTGTCCAATCTTGAGGAAAGATGATGATAATTGCCCTTCACCCAAGGGTATGCTCTCCCTATGATGATAAATTCTATGCATTCTGAAAACTCATACATGGCCCTTGTCATTCTGTTGTTGTTAGATCTCTCTGATACCTATCTTGTTGCATTAAATTCTCCGCATACTACCCACAGGCCCACACATAGACTTCTGGTTGCTCATTGCCTACCGAAGTTCCTAATTCGGATTGGCAATGAGGCTTACTGGTGATCTCAAGATGGTGCAACATAGAAAATGGATAGTCAGAGAGCAGCTCGAGCGAAGCTCTGCAAACGCCTGCGGCATCTGATGACTAACTGCTTTGATATGTAATCTTGAAAGGATTTCAGCGAGAATATCTGATGGTATGTATGTTATGATACTTCTATCAGTCATTTTTGTACTTTAATTATCGAACAACTATTGGGATTGAGTTTTCCCTTCTAAGATATTAGTTCAGACGTTGATGCAAACTACCTATATGGCTATTTCGCCATGTTTTTGGGATCTATATAATTCTTGGCTGTCAACTAATTTCTGAAAATGACTTGAGAAAGTTTTGCCTTCTAGGCTGGCCGGCCAACGCCATTTTGTGTGAATTAAGTTATTTTCAATATTCTCCAGAGACAAAAATATTATACTACGTGAAAACTGATACCATCAGTTACTTGAGAGTTATGTTTATCCCTCAACTCGTAATAAGTACATCCGCAGCAGCGAAATACTCACAAAGGGAGAAGTTTAAAACTCATTTCTCTATACTTTGACAAAAAAAGTGCTCATGATATACTATATGATGTGTAAGAAGCACTGAAGAATATCTGTTTCTGTTTCCTATCATAAATTTAGTCCTTGCAATCCAAAAGTTCACTACTATTAATTTTTTTAATTCTGTAAGTTTACCTGATGGGTCCACTAAGTATTCCAATTTGTAGATACAATATTTCGTGTACGTTCCCAGTTTGGTATTTGGAGACACGAACAATTCAAAGTCCCAAGGATTTGTGATCGGCTGATACCGATTGATGAGACAAACCTATATATGTAAATAAAAAAGTCAAAGAAGAAATAGACACGTGGAAAAGAAATAAAGATAAGAATATTATGAAATAAAAGCAATTTAGAAAAATATAATAGAAGCGGAAATAGAAAGAAGGAAGAGCTTTTGTTCTTCAATTGTGTGCATTTACCCATTTGTTACAAAGCTTTTATATAAGCATGAAAAGTGAAGACTAACTATTGTAAAATAGTGAAAGAAATGAATATTACACATTAAATGTAACGGGACTCAACATGGGCATTCATATCTATTATTTTCAACACTCCGCCTTAGATGTTCATGTTAAAAATAAAATTTCAAGTGAAAGGAAAACAACACCTTATTTGTTATACGCATTGTTTGCCGCCTCAGTAAAAACCTTACCAGAAAAATCTAGTTGGATAAAACCTTGGTTAAGGAAAAAAGAGTGCAGAGCGTATTTACTCCACCTGATGAAAATATCACTTAATGTCTCGAAGACGACACATTCCAATCTTGTATACCAGCCTCTCAAATATTGAGTTTGGCAAATACCTTAGCGAACAGATCCGCCAAATTATCACTCGAATAAGCTTGTTGAACATATATTTCACCATTCTTTTGAAGATCATGAGTGAGATTATTTTTTGGTGAAATGTTTTTTTGTTCTATATCCTTTGATTTATCCTCCTTTCAGTTGAATTATGCATGCAATATTGTCTTTATACAATATTGTTGGAATATTTCCTTTCGAGGAAAGACCACTTGTTTCCTGAATATGTTGAGTTATCTATCTCAACCAAATGCATTCTCGACTTGCTTCATGAATGGCTATTATCTTTGCATGATTTGAAGAAGTAGCAATCATAGTCTGATTCATTAAGCGACATGATATGATTGTACCTCTGTCACGACCCCAGTTCTCCCTCCGTGAACCATCATGACGACACCTAGTTCTCTACGACTAGGTAAGCCTAAATTGCGGAAGATAACCAAAGTGCGGAATAAAAACAAATTAAAACAGAATGAAGAGTTATAAAATAATGTTTAAATGTGCCGCTCGGCATACACAATATTTAACTCTCAACCAATACATACTTCCAAGACCCGGAAACCCATGAATCACAAGCTAAGGATCACTACACAGTACTCTAACTCTAGAATATCTAACAAGGAAAAGAAATACAAAAGGGAAAATGTTTAAAAGCTAGGGTCTGCAGACACGACAAATATACCTCGAAGTCGCTGGAGCAGTCGCCTCGCCTCAAGGGTGATAGGACTGAGTCGCAGTACCTGGATCTGCACATGAAAAACATGTGCAGAAGGGGCATGAGTACACCACAACGGTACTCAGTAAGTGCCAAGTGTAACCTCGATCGGGTAGTGACGAGGAAGGTCAGGGCCCTACTGAGGTTAAATAAAATACAAAGTATAACAGTGTAGAACAAGACAGTATAATTAAGTGCAACAGTAAGAAATAACATAGAGTAGAAAGAGAAACAACAACTAGAACAGAGGCAAAATAATCACGGAAAGGAAATACAACTCAACACAGAGATAACAACCGGGTACCCTCCAAGATACCGTCCTGTAGTCCCAATTACAACTATCCAGTGGATCTCCCAGGATACCGTCCCGTAGTCCATCATATATATCCGAAGGATCTCCCGGGATCTCGTCCCATAGTCTAACTATTGGTGCTCGGGGATCTACCAGAATCCTGATCCGTAGTCCCAATTATAAATACCCAATACTTGGGGAATCTATCGGATGCAATCCCGTAGTTCAATATAACTGTGCAGGGGGATCTACCAGAATCCCACATCCGTAGTCCCAAATAAACAGACAAGAGGGATCTACCGGAATCCCACATCCGTAGTCCCAAATTAATACACAGCAGCAACAGGAAAATATTCAGAAATGACAAATTTCATATTAAGGCAACAAGTAATTCTAGCCTAGCATGCTGCACAGAATTCAGGTAAAGCAGTTTGAGCAAATAAAGCAATAAAATCACTTAGACATGCTTTCCTAAGCTAACAACAGTCTTAATAGTGCGAATAATAAAAACAGGAAAGGTAACATACTAGTAATTACTTAATGAAAACCGGATTTCCAACAATTAGCACAAGTACACACTCGTCACCTCACGTACAAGACATTCAATTACCAAATCTTAAGGAGAAGGTCCCCCACACAAGGTTAGGCAAGCCACTTACCTCGAATCGGCTCAATAATCAACCCGAAACCATGCTCTTGCCACGAGTACTCGACTCCAAATGACCAAAATCTATTCAATTCATTTGCATAATGTAAATAACACTTCAAGTAACTGATTCTACAAAGAAATTCTAAGCTAATACGCGAAATTAGGTAAAATGACCAAAACACCCCTCGGGCCCACGTCTCAGAATCGGGTAAAGTTTATATTTTCAGAATCCTCACACTCTCACGAGTTCACGCATACCAAAATTATCCATATCTAAGGTCAAATTCCCAATCAAAACTCAACTTTTAGGTCTAAGAACTTTCTTCCAACTTTTCCCCAATTTTCATCTCCAATCCGAAATTAAATGATGAAACTAACTATAGATTGATGGAATATAACTAGAAAGGGTTAAAGAATTGTTACCCACTGATCTCCTCTTCAATTTTTTTCCCAAAATCGCCCTCTCCCGAGCTCCAAATCGAATTTCCAACTTTTGAAACTAAACTCTCGAATTTCATATTTCTGCCTAGTTGTTACCGCATCTGCGGTCCTGGGACCGCTTCTGCGGAGCCAAGGTCACATATGCGACTTCTCACTTAAAGGCCAGATTCCACACCTGCGATTACCCATTCGAAGATGCGGTACCGCTTCTGCGGTAAGTCTCCCGCATCTGCGGAACCTGCTGATACTCCCAAATTTCGCTTCTGCGGCTCCGCACCTGCGGAACCCAAACCGCAGGTGCGGTTATGATAGATGTCAGCAGAAGCTGCAAACTTCAAACTCCAAAATCCTTCCGTCAACCATCCGAAATCATCCCGAGGCCCCCGGGACCTCAACCAAACCTGCCAAGCAATCCTAAAATATCATTCAAACTTGTTCCAACCTTTGGAACGCTCAAAACAATATCAAAACACCTATTTTTCATCGGATTCAAGCCTAGAATTCCAAAAACTCTAAAAATATGTTTTCGATCGAAAAGTCTATCAAACCTCGTCTGAATGACCTGAAATTTTTCACACACATTATATTAAACAGTACAGAGCTACTCCAAATTCCGGAATTCTATTCCGACCCGTGGATCAAAATCTCACTATCGAATCGGAAACTTCAAAAATTCAACTTTTGGCATTTCAAGCCTAAATTAGCTACGGACCTGCAAAACACAATCCGAACACTCCCCTAAGCCCAAAATCACCCAACGGAGCTAACGGAACCATCAGATTTCCATTCCGAGTCCGTTTTTACACTGTTCTGACTACGGTCAACTTTCTAACACTTAAGCTCTCATTTAGGGACTAAGTGTCCCAAAACTCTTCGAAACTCAAAACCGAATATCCTGACAAATCAAAATAGCAATAATAAACTTGGAAAAAGCAGTTAACGGGGGATCGGGGTGTAAATTCTTAACTAAATATGTAAAGCATCTTGAACTTAGTCTATGCCCAATAATCTGGCCTCACCCGACTCAAACCAACCCACCAGGGATCTACACCGTCTACCATATAAAGGTTCATACAGTGCCATCTGAATGCTGGACTGATAGCTGTTGTTGTAAGCAAATTCCACCAATGGCAAGATCTGATCCAAAGACCCTACAAACTCAATCACACATGCACAGAGCATATCCTCAAGAATCTGAATAGTGCACTCGAACTGTCCGTCCGTCTGTGGGTGAAATGCTGTAGTCAACTCCACCCGAGTACCCAACTCATGCTGGACGGCTCACCAGAATCGTGATGTGAACTGAGTACCTCTATATGAAATGATGGAAACCGGAATACCATGCAGATGAACAATCTCCCGGATCTACAATCGCTTCGAAGAATAAGTAGTACACACAGGAATAAAGTGAGCGGACTTGGTCAGCCGATCCACAATCACCCAAATAGCATCGAACTTTCTCAAAGTCCGTAGGAGCCCAACTACAAAGTCCATGGTGATCCGCTCCCACTTCCACTCCGGAATCTCTATCTGTTGAAG